AAGATTTATTCCCTCTTTTGAGCTTCTGCATCCATAGGTGTAGGTCATGTATCAGATGACTCCTTTTTTCCTCTTCTAGTTGAGTGGTGATCATCCAAACATTGAAGCCAGATCAAGTGGGTATTATATTATATGCAAGTGTGGGTGTTCTTATGCATATGCCCTCTCTTCTTATCAGCTGGACGTTTCATTCTCCACTCTAGTCCTCTGTGGCTATGTCACTGACTTTGGGCCCAAGAGGCCCCAGGTCTTGCCACACTGCTGGTCAACAAGGTATCCATCTGGGTTCACAGGAGTCTATTGAACATTGTAGGGTTTAGCTTGCAGCTTCATTGCTGTTTTCCCCTCACTGCCCCTTATCGGTGACAAACGTGGTCACTAATCAGAGTGTGTATTCCCATTGAGTCTTAGTCTTGGAAGGGGGTTTGCTCTGAGGGGACCTGACCACTTGCCTTGATGTCTCCTGGGCGAGCAACTTGCTTGTTCTTGTAGTAATCAGTCGGTCTGCCGTTATTGTTTTGTATTTTTCCTGTCAGTGTTTCTTTCAAGAAGTATCTTCTGTTCTTCTAGCTGCTCCAGGCTGGACTGTTCAACCTTTCAAGTGGAAATTTTCCACCTCTGAATATTCTGGATGCTGTTCAGGATTCCACCTATGGTCTTATGTAAAGCAGAGGTTCCACAGGAAGCCTCCTTCACTGGGCATGTTGTAGCCCCATTTTAGGTACTCCAATCAGTTATAGGCAGAAGACAGACTTAACAATCTTTCTATGGTGATATTTCTGGCTTTTCCTTTCTCTCCCCCTCCAGTGTCTATTTTATAATGGTATGCCAGGGAAACCAAGATTCAAAAGACAGCCAAGCATCTTAACATTATTTCACCCCTTTTCCCCATTCCAACTATGTCTCAATCCCTGTATCCCAGAGCCCTGCTTTTCCAAGGTTGTGTATACTTAATTATTTACCTCTGTCCCACTTAGCCCATGCAAACCTGCCTAATTGTTTTCCCATCTGCTTTGCTCTTCCATTTCCCTCTCCCTTCTTGTATATTGCCTCCCTCACTAACACCCAAACTATCCTGTGTCTGTTCCCTACCCTGTGCTCTACCTTCCCCTCCCTCCCCTTACCCCACCCCCCACAGTCCAGTAGCCAGCAAAAAATCCTGCCCCCTCCTCTTTAGTATGAGGTCTTTTTCTTAGACTTCTACAGTAGTGATCCTATGCAGTATTTCTCCTTTTGTGACTAATTTCACTCAGTCCTGGTGTGGCGCTGTGGGTTAATGCTCCAGACTGCAAAGCCATTTGAACTGCAAGGTCCGTGGTTCAAGCTCACCAGCTGCTCCTGGAAAACCCCCTATACAGGGTCGCTATGGGTCGAGAGGGCACGTAACAACAACAGTTTTACTCAACATAATGCTCTCAAGGTTTATCCATGTTATGCGGTGGCTTGCTGCGTCATTGTTATTCTTCAAGGTAGCATAATATTCCATTGTGTGTATATACCTCAGTTTGTTTATCCATTCTTCAGTTGATGGGCACTTTGGCTGTCTCCATCTTTTTGCTATTGTAAATAGTGCTGCTATGAACATTGGTGTGCATGTATCTACTCGTGTTATGGCTCATATTTCTTGTGGGTAAATACCAAGTAGACGAATTCCTGGATCATAAGGTATTTCTATTTCCAACCTTCTGAGG